GAAGGCCCAAGGCAGAAACTTTACGAAAGAAGGCCCAAGGAAGGCCCAAGGCAGAAACCTTGCGACAGAAGGCCCAAGGCAGAAACTTTGCGAAAGAAGGCCCAAGGAAGGCCCAAGGCAAAAATCTTTGCGAAAGAAGGCCCACGGCAGAAACTTTGCGAAAGAAGGCCCAAGGAAGGCCCAAGGCAGAAACTTTGCGAAAGAAGGCCCAAGGCAGAAACTTTGCGGAAGAAGGCCCAAGGCAGAAACTTTGCGAAAGAAGGCCCAAGGAAGGCCCAAGGCAGAAACTTTGCGAAAGAAGGCCCAAGGCAGAAACTTTGCGAAAGAAGGCCCAAGGCAGAAGCTTTGCGAAAGAAGGCCCAAGGCAGAAACTTTGCGAAAGAAGGCCCAAGGCAGAAGCTTTGCAAAAGAAGGCCCAAGGCAGAAACTTTGCGAAAGAAGGCCCAAGGAAGGCCCAAGGCAGAAACTTTGCGAACCAGGCAGAAACTTGGCGAAAGAAGGCCCAAGGCAGAAACTTTGCGAAAGAAGGCCCAAGGCAGAAACTTTGCGGAACAAGGCCCAAGGCAGAAACTTTTCGAAAGAAGGCCCAAGGAAGGCCCAAGGCAGAAACTTTGCGGAAGAAGGCCCAAGGCAGAAACTTTGCGAAAGCAGGCCCAAGGAAGGCCCAAGGCAGAAACTTGGCGAAAGAAGGCCCAATGCAGAAGCTTTGCGAAAGAAGTCCCAAGGAAGGCCCAAGGCAGAAACTTTGCGAAAGAAGGCCCAAGGAAGGCCCACTGTGCGAAAGAAGGCCCAAGGCGAAACTTTGCGACAGAAGGCCATGGCAGAAGATTCTACAGGTCCTGCGAGCATGCGAGCATGATTGCGCAAGGAGCTTACTGCCAAGAAGAATGAGCTCGTTGAGCACATAAAGCAGCTGGAGAAGCAGCTCTTGCAGTGACCCAATTGAAAGTACGCCAACATACAAAACGCATGCACGCAATCACATTGGGGTGCTTTTTGCGAAGGTACGAGCTCTTGTAAGGAGTCACGTCGCGACATGACATACTTGATGAGCATGGCATGATAGGCTGCAATCTGGAATGATTTGGAAGGCCTTGCCAAATGGCAGATGGCTCGTCCAGGATATGCAGCTTAGCTCACAAGCACACACTGCAGAAGTGCAGGTGGTTTTTTGTGCTTGGCGCTTTGCCGTGCGTTTGGCCTCCATGTGCCCAAGCACTGGAAGCCGCGTGAGTCAGCCTCCTGTTTCACAGGAAGGCAAAATGCTTTCTGGCCATATAGTAAGGCTGACAGGTGTCATTTTCTTATTCGCTAGATTGGCACTAGACTGTTGAGCGTGGCCAAATGGGCTGTTCAAGGTACAGGCTGGTAGTCAGGATTCATTCCTCCTCCTCCGCCTTGGCGGAATGTTGATCAGACTTTTGGCCAAGGCTTCAGCATTCATGTGCGCTTACTAGTGCGTAGCCATGAGCGCTATCACGTTCAGCGTGGATGCTACAAAAGAGGCTACATGCACAGTTTGGAACATTGGCCATCGGAGAACAGTATTGTTCTGACGCAATCGAGCTTCTGAGAAGCATAGAAGGCTTTGGTTTTGGAAGCAGCACGACCTTCCAGCTAGTGCGACAAGGAAGCTTGACACTCCCCTTGCAGGCCGCCTACAATGGCACATTTTAGATTATCTGCATCTTGACATAGAAGCGATCCACCCAAACCACCGAAGATGCACAGCTACAAAGGAGCTTGTACATGGATACTGCCAGCAATGGATAGGCCTGGCCAGTTTGCGCGCTCTGCGGCTTTGATACCTTTGACTCCTTGAGTTCTCTTGCTCCCATTGGGGCATTCTGAGTGGCAATCATGCTCAGGCATGTCCCGCGTCTTTTCCCGCTTCCAGGCACAGTTGTGTGTTGAGTGTTCGGTGCTGCCAAAATGAGAGCCGATCCGATCATGGCCTGCGCAGCCTGTCAGGATATTCGGCGGACCTCCCAAGACTTCGTACGAGTGGCTAGCCAGGCCTCTTCCGGCCCCTGGCGCTCCGACTCATTGCAAACAAAGACAGGTCATCGAAGATCACAAGTCCAGGACCGAGAACCGGTGCTGAAAAAGGGAAGTGAAGGGACAAAAGTGCATAAATGTTGACCCCGGATTAATAAACCCTTCTTTGTTACTATGGGGGTGGGGGCCCCTCCAAAAGTGATGATTCCTACTAAAACCAGGGACACCCCCCATATTTATAAACAGGGGTTTATCAATCCGGGGTCAACATGAAGCACGTGCTTCAAGGTCGCTACTATGGCTAGCGGCGACCTCTGAGCTGATCCTGAGTTCGAGTCACCTCTGAATTCGCGCGAGGTGGGCACTGGATCATCTGCGCTGGCAGGTTGGTGTGTCCCTGTCTCACAGCCGACATTTGAAGTCATCAAAACGCGGGTAGATGAAGGTTAGGTTCTGGGTAGACCATTTTAATACCGGGCTTTGATTGTGACTCATTTGAAGTCACTCTCTCATCTCCTTTTTTTTTTTTGCCTGGGCTGAGGTCTACGTGCTTCGCCGGGTTCACTACGAGCGAATTGAGGGCGCAGGGACCTCCACCGAAACTCGTCCAAAAAGTTGCGGGTCTGTTGTCCGAGGCTATGAGTGCCACACTCAGACTGTACCTGGCTTGTTGGAAATGGGTGTGGCTCAAAATTAAACAGGAGGGGTTACGGAGGTTTTGGTCCATGTTTTTCCACTTACCAGGGTTCCATTTTGGTACGGGGTTTTTGAGCCACAGCCACCTGGCTTCTTGGAAATGGGTGTGGCTCTTTTTAGGGTTCCCCCCTCTGGTTCCCCAACCAAACAAGGCAAGCTCAAAAGAAGACTTACCCACATGCACCTTGAACTTTACTTGATGCTTCAGGCGAGATCTCGCTGAAGATGAAGGACATGGTGCGTGGCTTATGTTCGAGACAAAGAAATCTTTGCAGTTTCCGAGCCCGAGGAAAAGAGAGCTGGAGCCAAACTTAGTGCTTGCACTTGTTTCTTCAGGCACTGAAGTGAATAGATAATCCCGGATTGGTTCATCACTTTCGCAGAGGGACAGCCCAAGAGTAAGAAACTGGGGTGTATTAATCCGGGGTATCCGGGGTCAACATTCAGTTGCCTTATCGCTTTCTGAGGAGATCACGACAAAGACAAAGCTGAAGCGGACAAAGCCGGTAGGCCAATCTCCAAAATTGAAATGGCACGAACCTCAAAGCAAGCCTCAAAGCAACTGCGGAGATTGAAAAGCGGGTGCAGTGAATCCGCTCAATTCGCAAGCCTGCAAGGTCACCATCATTGGACCTGCTGTTGTTTCCGCCTTCTCCTTTGGTTATTTGGCCGGCGGCCCAACAGCATGTGTTCGTGCTATTGCGACGCTGTCACAAGTCCCAACCCAGGCGGGGCGAGCTGTAGGCAGCTACAATTTGCACAAGCACATTAGGCAGCGTGGCTGAAAGGTGCAGTGGACATTGGCCATGGCATTGTTTGTCACGTTGTCAAGCAGCAAAGGATCAAAGATGGCCTAAACAGCAATCGTGTTTTCGCGCGGTGCCCGAGATCCACATTCTTCTTTGCTTTGCACAAATTCTTGTCTTAGGTAGCAGTGGTGCCAGAGCAGCTCTTCGAGGCATTTTGGTTTTTGCTGCCTTTTGCAGGCTGACGTTGAGCCGGAAGCGCTGGCATGTCGCATTTTCGGGAGCTCATTGGCGCTTGCTTTTGACACGCGCGCAGGCCGGAACGGTGGCTCGAGAGCTGGAATTGGCGATCTCTCGTAGAGATTCCGCCAAGTCGCGGCGCGCCATCGAGTTAGATGGCCAGTGACGAGTTCGCGCGGTGGAATTTTCCTCAGGTCCTGGTCTCCCTGGAGCTGGGGACGATCAGACAACACAACACTCCAGCTTCCTGAAGGGAAAACCAGAGCTTTTCGCTTGCGAATGCAGCAAGCGTCGCGAACATTGGATTGCTGTCATTCGTGCAGTTCGACGCAGCGCTTCGAACGGAATGGGCTCACAGGCAACTTTTGACAGTTCTTCTCATTAGGATTAAAGCTCATTCTATACGTTTTACCGACATTTGCCGGCGACATGGCCACACATCAAGTCACAGACCAGCAGCCAATTCACCAGGTCATGAAGCCTAGTCTTTGGGGGATTTCTCCAACTCTCTCTCTCTCTCTCTCTCTGTGCATTGCCTGGCGGCCTGCGTTATCATGGACTCTCGGGCAGGGGTTTGGCCCGTCATTGTGTGCAAGGCTGTTCTGCAAGTCTCAAAAAAAGAGCCCTACAATGACCCTTGCAGCACTTGTTCGGGCTTTTTTGGACTTGTCCAGGCAACAACGACCATTTCGGAAGAAAGCAAAACGCATGTCCTGCCACCGCAAGTGCAATGACCGGTTCCAAAATGGACACTTGCGTAGCATATTGACATACTCAAGTCAGACAGCAGCTCGTCTTGTCCTGATTGCATGTGCGAGCAAAATGTGCGCACGCGCAGGATAAGGCGATCCCTTGCGGGAGCAAAATATGCACCAAGAGAATCAAGGCGAGAGAGCTAGGGCCTTGGAATCTGTTGCAATCAGACCAGTGACATGGCTGTGGGTGCCATGTTGGGGTAGGTGCACCACTTATTTTAGAACCTATTTTAGTGGGATTGGGATGTTCACTGGGGGAACGATTGGGATTTTGACCCATGGCCACATGTACACATTCCGCAGGCCAATAGCTATGGAGTGTGGCCGGGGGAAGACTCATGTTTGCTGTGCAATATGCTTAGTGCCCTGAGCGTTGCCTTGTTTGGCTGAGGCAACAGTTGCATCGAGATCGAATCCGGAATATGACACTGGGCTTGCATTGTCCTTTCTACAGCAAGTTCAGCTATGTGGGGGTTGATCAAAAGGGTGACCATTGGGGAAACCACCAAAACGGATGGTCTTTCTCGCTAAACGGGAACAGTCGCCCATGGTCACTTGGGGGAATATTGATCGGACAGTCGGACAGCGTCTTGGGTTTTAAGGAAGTCTCAAGTCGATACTGGCATGCCCACCGTTGGGCTCTCGGACTTTTCGGCTTTTTTCCCTGGGCGATCGAGTGGGCCTGAGGTTGCTCAGCTGGAACATGTCAAGGTCAACCTGAAAAAGGAACAGATGATGGAGGACGCCATGCTTGCAACTGTTTGGAAATGGCCAAAGCCATACACTTACGCCCGTTGTACTTCTTTTGCCCCGTCAGAAGCCGAGCATATTGGCACTATTTGTTTTGCTTCATTGAATCCACACACTCATGGCCGACAAATGTGAGAGGCAATGTGCTGCAACAGATGACGTTGGCGTGTGGAAGAAAGAAAGTAATGGGAAGGAAAGGAGAGCAGAGGAAAAGAAGGAATAGAAAGAAAAACAAAAAAAAACAGACAGAATGAAAACATAAAGAAGGGCCGAAAAGAAGGGAAACTGAAGACAAGGAAAGAACAACAAAGAAAGAAAGGACGAAAGAAAGTGATGGGATGGAAAGGAAAGGAAAGGAAAGGAATGGAGAGAACTTCGAGAACTACCAGACACGAAAGACAGCAAGAAAGAACCAAATAAGCACGCATACAGAAATACTGGAAGAAAGAAACCCTGAAAGGCAGAATCAAGAAAACAAGAAAGAAGCGCTGAGAGAAGGAAAATCACACGGACGGAATGAAACAAAGAAGGAAAGGAAGACAGAAAGAATCAGAAGAGAGGAAAATAAGTTGGAAAAATGATTTAAAGAAAGAAGTAGCTAAAGAAAGAAAGCACGAAACAAAGAAAAATAATTAAGTAAAAAAATAAAGGAAGGAAGGAAGAAAGACAGAAATAAAGCAATACATGGAGAATTAAACGAATGAACCAAAGCAACATATGATGAAGAGAAGAAAGAACCCGAACGACAATAGATAAAATAAAGAGAACAAATAAAAAGACAATAAAGAAAGAACAAACATGAATAGCAAAAGAAAGAGAACAGGAAGATAGCAATAAGACAAGTAACAAAGAAATAATGAACTGAAGAAAGCCGGCAACTACACGCATAAGCAGACAGATGTGTACGATAGATGTTAACAAGGCAGAAATAGAGCAAAACATAGCGAGAGAGCTGGGCGTTGCATGTTTGCAATTATAGCCGAGCTTTGGAAGACCAACGCAGAAAATCCGCATCCGTTTCGCGCAAGTTATACTTTCCGCTGCTCCCGTGTCATTTGAACATTGTGTGGGTGCCAGCCATCATGTGAATAGCGCGCGTTGGAACAGAGCCGCGCTAGCCAGGCCGCGCATATTTCGCCCAACAGGCGTGAAGCACTGCCTTTTTGGACCAAGCAATAAGAGGTGGGCCCCCACCCGGGTTACGCCCTATTTGGGTCACAGATCATTCGGAAACCAATTTGCTTGAAATTAATATGAAGCTCCCCTCGTTGCACTTTTGTACTTGCCAGTGTTTCGTGCTTTGGCCGTGCGCAATAGGACCGGTATACTGAGATTGATCGGGATAATCGGATCCTGCTCAAAAAGATGACTCAACCTCAGTTGAAGACAGCCAGCTCACGAGACTTGGCAGCATCGTGCAACCGCTTCCATGGTTTTGCCATGCTTAGGACAGAGATCATGAAGCAGCAGAACAACTTCCCGCCAGTGGAGAAGAAAACTACCGGTTCACCTGACACAGATTCTTGCAAAGACCTTCTTGCAAAGATGCTGAAGCACCTATGAAGCAAGCACCTGTTTCAAACCAAAAAAAATGCGATGAGCAAATGCACTCTTGGCTGCCCTGACAATTGAGATGACAGTGCCTCTTGCTCGGGAACTCGTAGCAGTTCCGAATGCGCTTGGCAAGTCCCTGCAAGGTTTCATCTTGCAAGACCGGCAGGCTTGTGAGCACGGCCTCGCCAGGCCCTACAAGCCTGAACAAAGACTCCAGAAGGAAAGAGCTACTGCGCATAACTCGCGAGAATCAGTCCATCTTGAAGCGAATCCAACAGGCTCGACCGCTTCAGATCATTATTTTGTAGCTGTAAAGCTGTAGGCTCAGCCGGTGTACAATCACGTCGAGTGGGAAGACCAACATCGTAAGAACGTGCCGGGACCCTGGCATCCATATGGCCATGGGTCAAAATCCCAATCGAACATCCCAATCCCCACCAAAATAGGTTCAAAAATGGGTGGCGAATTCACCTACCAACCACAATGGGATCCCATTGGTTTTGACCCTGGCATCCATGGCAATGATGGAAGAGGCATGTTGTATAGCCCCGGCCAAGGACCTATTTGAAGAACAAGTGCGAGTTTCCGGTGGTCCTAAGGACGTGAAGTTGCCAAACGCAAACCGAGATGCGTCATGACCAGGACACCTCGCCGCGAGAGGTATGCGTCTAGCGAGCTGGTCAACTTGGAGGACCGGACGGCTTTTCTCTCTTCTAAGAATGACCAACTCATGTTTCCACTTACCAGGGTAAGCCGCGTGGCTTTCTAAGAATAACCAACTCATAGCCTTTTGGGGTTGCCCTATTTTTGACAACCACAGCCATTTGTGTGGATTCCAGGAATGACCAACTGGCTGTGGTTGGCAAAAATAGGGTAACCCCAAAATGGCTTGGTAAATGGAACCAAAGACTAAAACCAGCGGTCCGATTCCTGGTGGCTTAATTGTGACCCTCACCCAACTCCAGGCGTGGCCTGTGGCTCAAAATTAAACAGGAGGGGGGTCCATGTTCCACTTGCCAGGGTTCCATTTTTGGTACCGGTTTTTAAAGCCACAGCCACGTGCTTTGTGGCGGAGTCTCCTAGCACAATATTTTGCTGCCAGCACCAAAGGTTGCAACCAAGAGATATTTGCCAGCCGCATTGGTGGAAAAGGCATTTGTGATTTGAACATCTTGGACATATCAATTGCCTCAATCTCTGCGTTGCAGGAAGATGGGTCGGCGACTTCAAGATCAGCACCAGCTACCAGCAGAGTTCCCCCCAAGGCTGGGATTGAAGCACTGAAGCAAGCGCTTGCTGTTTGGCTGCGAAAGCCAAGGATGAGTTGACAGTGGTCGTCAAAGATTGGTACCCGAAATGGCTTGCCCTGGTGAATGGAATCAAGCACCAAAACCTGCGGTGTCCTGGTGGTTTAACTTCGACCCATACCCAATTCATACAAACTGTGAAGTGCTCGAATGCTAGCGTTCCTGTCCTTCCAACTTGCAGTGCAAATATGAATTGCGGGTGTTTGTTGTCCAGGATCTTGCGGAAGGAGCAAACCAGAAGTATGTCTTGAAGGCGGCTGCCGATCCGATGTCCAAATCATGAGACATGGTCCGGCAGAATGGATTCTTGGCAGTTGCAGCGTCTGCCAGGAAGGCATGAAACTCAGCGACACGTACTACCTGGTTGACATGTCAACCGATGGCTTTCTGACTGCAGACCAGTTTCGTGTTTCTATTTTTTGAACCAGAATCAGATGACTTGCTATTTCGAGCCCTTGCGTGCATCCGCAAGGTCGCAATCTCTTTATCTCTGCGTATGCCGGCTTCCTAGTTGAGTCCAAGACATGCCACTGCACCTCAAAACTCTCCAGCTTTGTTTGCCAGGACAACGGCTCCTCCACAACGCTGGAGCTTGTGATCAAGGATGGTGGCTGATGTTGCTGTGTTGATGATGGCTGCTAGTTGCTGTGTTGATGGCTGCATGAAGGTGTTTGGCAGAGCCATTGCTCGATTTTGCCCTGATTGATGAATACAACTCGAAGGAGAAACTTCATCGACAGTTGTACCGTGAGACTAACGGTGACTACCGCCAAATGGCTCAAGACTCAGATGGTTTGATGCCGGTTGTTTGCATTGCTGGCTTTCTGGTTGTGTTGCCTTGACTGTGAGGCAGACCGGTTGAAGGTCTCGAAGGATGGCAAGCTCTTGCTGGCAGTGGGCTCAGCTGACCAATCTGCAAGGTTGCGCTTCCCATCACTCAGGACGGTGAGGAGGTATTGAGCTTACCACAAGTGTCCCGCCAAAGCCTTGCATGTCATGGAAGGAAGGTGCTTTGTTCAACAGCTATTGTCCTGGAAGCCAGTTCCACTCTGCCTACTCTGCCCACGTGCCGCTTGTGCCGCTTCAGGCGGGAGTAGAGGAGCTGGATGCGGCCGCCATGGTGCGAAGCACCAACAAAAGCCCGCACACGGCTCGCAGGGGCCCCTAAGGCCACGTCGTTGGACAAGCAAAACTAAGTGGCCACGGGTCAAAGTTAGCCCCCAGTGAAAATCAACCAATAGAACCACTAAAACAGGTTCTACAATGGGTGGTGAATTCACCTACCAACCAAAATGGCATACCATTGGTTTGACAACCACAGACATGTATAAGGTTAGGGGGTTTTGGATGCATGAGAGAAGCTGGAGCTTAGGTTGAGCCTGTGCTCGGTGAAGAGGTGGAGCCTTTGATTGGGAGAGCTCCAACTGGTGTTTTACCACTTCCGTTGATCTTGATGTGCTCGAGAGTCTTGCGTAGCCAGTGTCTTAGGGCAGGAATATGGACCGCAAAACTGCCAGGTCCATTTAATTGCAAATGGGGCTGGGGCTTGCAAAATGGCGAGCCCGCTCCAGCCACGGCAGTGCAAGCTTATTGATCAGCCGTTACCGGATAGAGACACACGGCACTCAGCAGTGCAGCTGTTTGCTCTTGCCAGAAGCAAATTATTAGGGGCACGCCACGGGGAAGAATGTGTCTCTGGAATCCAGAGCCTCAGGTGACCAAGTCAAAGGCTAGGCCGCCTCACTGCAGGATGCAGGCTGAACTCATGTCGGTCCTCAAGTTGCTACGAATGATTCATCTTATGCAACATTTGCCATACGTTTTTTGCGACTTGAGCATTGCCTGCATCGACTACAGCGAACGTGCTGCGTTGGCAGAAACGAGCTTTCAGAAACGCGGTTGCACTGGCAGTTCTGCGTGCTTTGATCATTTATGCTGCCGTGGCTCAAGCAAG